GGGGGGGACTGGCAGGGATGGAGAGACGTGAGCGGGGAGAGGATAGAAAGGATTCGTGAGACCGGGAAGTTTTGAGCAGGGAATGCTGTGGAGGAGCTGGGGTGGGCTGGAGAGGACGGGCTGGGATGGAGGGATGTGAGTGAGGGAAGGATGTGGAGGCTGCCACAGGATGGAGGGGATGGGCTCCGATTCAGCCCTGGAGTTGGGAAGGGAGAGTGGGGCCGTGGGTGAATGGAGGGACTGGGATAAGGAGAGGATGGAAGGGACGGATRCGACCGGGAGCTGTGAGCAGGGAAGGGGGCGGGGGAGCCGTGCTGGGATGGAGGGTGTCTGGGACGGAGAGCCGGGAAGCGGGAAGGGAAGGCAACGGGAAAGGGACAGAGGAGCCACTGTGGGATGGAAGGGACAGGCAGGGAGGGGACCAGCATGAGCAGGGGCTGTGAGCAGGGAAGGGACGGAGGGGACGGGATGGAGGGATGGGGACAGGAGGGGATGGAGGGGATGGGTGTGAGCAGGGAAGGCAGTGGAGGAGCTGCCTGGGATGAAGGAGTGAGAGTGAGGAAGGTGATGGAAGAGTTGGAATGGGATGGAGGGAGGGAGGGGAGCAGGGAAGGGATGGAGAGCCCAGGGAGCAAGAGAGGGACGTGAGCAGCATAGGGATGAGGAGCGACGGAGCCCTGGGAGTCACGGGGGTGGAGGGGACGGCGAGTGAAGGAGGGATRGGAGTAGAGGAGGGGAAGAAGGGATGGGGCTGAGGGGAGGGCTGGGTTGGCGGGGAGGATGCAGGAAGAGGCAATGGAGGGAGGGAGGAGGAGGAGGGAGCATGAAGGCTGGAGGCAGGGACGAAGGCTGGAGGATGAGGAGGAGGGAGGCACCAAGGAGCAGGGAAGGCCCCTGTCCCCTACAAGGAGCTGGCACCGATACTKACCCGTCTGCGCGGGCAGTGGGACCCGGGACCCCCGGAGACTCGGGGGGCGCAGGGGGGCACTCGCGGCTCCGCGCGGCCGC